CTTCTGAAAAAAAACCAAATATTTGTCGGACGCTTATATGCCATTTGTCCGAACCCTACATCAGTTTTTGAGAAAAATATTTTCGTAAACTCCGAGTCGCATCCTTTTGTATTTTTGTGTAACAGTTGTAAATTTGTATATAACGTTACCTAGAATAGGAAAAAAACAAATTCAATACTTGGGCTATGCATTTTCAAATAGGTCGAGTACTGTACTCACCTATAACTGGTACCTTCAAATAAAGTTTTTATTAAAAACATAACCGTACCAGACGTGCGGTCTTATCTGCATCGTTTTTTGAACTTATGCCGGGGAGGGGAACATCCGTCATCCGAAAATTTTTACATATTATACATGGTGTATTATTTATCCAATAAAAGTTACAAGGGTGCAATAGTGTGATATTAATTTGAAACAAATTATTTACCTACCTTTGAACCGTGTCCCAGAAAAAAATTCGAAATGTTCAATCTACCCTCCCCCCAAACTCATATTGAATATCAGTGTAGTTTACTGTTTTTTCCAAATAATATTTTCGCGTCTCGTGAAAGTTTATCAATTTAAATTTTAAATCGACACAAAAATATATTTATGGTTCGTATAGCCGCATATATTTTGGTGATGCTCCAAAAAGGTTTTTATTATTCCTTGGTAGCCAATAATTCTTCTAAGAGACGTTTTCAACGTGAGATTCACGAACTGTCGCCCACTCATGTATCGATTATTATTTATTGTATAATTTTAAAAATAGAAAAATAAACTAACTGTATTATTATTGCTTTTAAACTGGATTTTTTTTTTTTAATTTTCTTAAAATAAAGTACTCTTAGCGTAAACATTGGGACAAAAATCGACATAATCGTACGATAATAAATTAAAAATTAATAACGGCCTATGGACTCATCTGATTATCGAGTACTAATCACTTAATTTCAAAAATATACGATGGTAATTTTACGAACTATGTGTATAATAACCTTGAGATACATCTCGTTTTGATTAAATTCCGTATTATTAAACACCTAAAAATATTAAAAATTACCATTGACATTTCATTGTTTTACAATAATTTAATATATAATTAAAATGGCTCGTTTAAAAACAGAAGATAATTTGTAGGTTTTTCATCAGATTGTAATACAATTTTATTATGCATTCGAGATTAACTATCTCATACATATGAGAATTTGTTAAATTTTTTTTTTTAGGATAAAATATCCATCGTCGAGTTTCATTTTATTTTAATTCACATGAAAACTATTTCACAGTATAAAATGATTTATTGTAGTACATTTTGATTTGAATATTTATTTTTGAATTAACTTATGGTACATTGAAAAATATTATTAACCCACTAAAATATGACATTCATTACCTTCTCCTTGTTAAATTTTAATTCACTTAAGCCAAGAAAAACATAGCTTCCATGGTTGAAAGTCATTAAACTGACATTAACAGTGTAATAAATTCATATGTGCAGTGCATTAGAAATTATTTTTATTGTGTTGCCCCTCTGGTTAACGATAAAACTTCAAGAAAATAAGTTACTCGAATAACAATGTGCATTTAATATATATATAAACCAAAAAATACAATATACAACATAAATATGATTTATTGCATTTGAAACGACTTCAATAGATGTTCTTTGATTTTCTAATGAACGAATTGAAAGTGGGATTTGTAACGATTTTTTTTTTCCTAGAAAACAGTGTTTGAAAATCACTATACCTATAAATAACCGTTAATGGAACCTTTCCAGTATTCGCATTTTTCGCAATAGTCGGCTATGTATAGAGTGCGTGTTGACTTTATGACCCTAAGACACGTGTAACATATAGTATAAGGCTATTATTGATTCGAAACAAGTTACACGACAATTTACTAAGACAAGTTCATGGTAATTTTTACGGTCGAATGATTTGATATCATATATTAAGGATATTATGATATGTAACGCAAAATCGATATTGGACGAAAGACACGCCATGATAATAATAAATATATAGTAGGTACCTATAAATCGTAGACATTTTTTTTTTTATTAGAATTTCCACTCTTGAGTACATTTGGTGCTTTATTGAGATAGTTTTTGGAAAACGAGTTTTGTCCGGTAAAAACCATTACATTTAACTATAGGTATACTGAACATCGATCACATTTACATAGTAGAAAAATTATTATTTTTCTTCTGACCCCGTTACTGAAGAACGTTTTCGGAATCGTTTTGCGAAGACGATTCTCTAGTTTACATCGATTTCAAGTTGAAGAAAACACTATAAAATACTGATTAGTATAGTGAATGCTTATGTTTTGGGCTTCTGTTTTTATAACATCTGGAATTTCCCTATATATTTTTCAGGTGTTAGAGATCTGCATATAGTAGTTCCACGATAATTTAAAATAATATTATCTTGGAAGAAATTGACGATTCAATCGGAGCATTCAGTCTTTTTTAAGATTTTGTTTTTCATTTTTATTTTTTATTTTTTTATTTCATTAAAACACAAAGCACCGATAATGCTGACAATGAGTAATGAACAATGCTGCAAGAGTGTATAGTTGTCACTGAAATTATTACCGACAAACCTGCGTTATTCTACGATAATAAATTACTGTTACCTTCTCTTCCCTTTTTCTCTAGTCCTCGCTTCGCAACGTCACATTCTATATACGAATAGAAACGAATATAAGAGAAACCTCTTATCGCATTGAATGTTTTATTCAATTCCATTTCCCTTTTTAATTGCGTTTGTAATGTGAACTTATTTTTCGTCCTTGTGACAATTGTTTTTCAACGCGCAAAACTCTTTTCATGTATACATTAATTCAAATTCCGTGGTATATAATTTAATAATAATAATACGTATAATATTAATTGGTCTTATCTAAGTGTCCGCGCGTTAATTTATATGCACCATAGTGCATTAAGGACCGATTACGAGTTTTACATGCAACCATGGTAAAAGTAAAAATTTAAAACAAACCGTTACAACCATTTCGTTTGTAGAATATTTTTTTTTTCTATATTTAATCGACTATATCTAGAGTCACATCCATTCAATATACCCACAAATTGTAGAAAATCGTATTAATATAATCGGGTATTTATTAAGCAGAATAACCAAATACGTAAATTTAAAACAACAAATTATCGAAAGGTATTACATTTTTAGTAAAACCTAATCATGGAACAAACGATTTTCGGTCATATCAACAGCAACAGATGCTAGTTATCGTTTTGTAATGCGTTAGTCTTTGATACAACCTTTTGTAAATTATATTTTAAATACATATTACAATTTACATGGATCGATACGTGTGATCACCAATAACATTGAATTCATAAAGGTTTTACAATTAATGAAAAACACAAGAACTGTGTATACTGGTATTAATTCATAATATATTACAGGATATCCTGCTGTATATCCATGTAGGATAATAAAAATAATTTGATAAACGACTTTATTTTTATTTGTGCTGACTTCGTTTCGAAATCTAAATTCAAGAGAGTAACGTGGTCTAAAACAATTTTTATTTTACTGATGACTTATTGTATTTCATAAATGTTTACCGTATATAATTACATACTGTACAATATAGTCACTCGAACATTATTCATATATTCGCTTAATAAATATGTTATAGTGCTATATTACAAGAGCAAAAATTTACACGGGTACACGTGTTCTTATCTGAAATGGCATTGAAACAGCCCGTGTCATTAAAATACACGTACATAATACCGTGTACCCGACATCATCCTTTTACGAAGTCTGTTAAAAAAGTTGCCTAACTATTGTTCTTAAAAATAGATAAATTATAGTATCCTAAATTGTATTAGATTAAAATAAAATAGAGATAAGTCGCTATTGTATTTTCAAATTGACCAGAAATTCATATTACGGATAATTAAAACGTGAGTTTTTATTTATTTTTCTATTCTAACATTGATTTTTATCAAATGTAATCACAACAAATGCTATCTTCATTCTTCTATGTTGTTTGCCATGTCCATTAGCTCTCTGTAGGAAGTAGATCCAGTACCTATCCTTTATTTTTTGGCTGATGTAATTTTTTTTAAGATTTCCTCTAGGTTGTGTTCCTTTTATAATACTTTCAACCGTTAGACTATACAATTCGTTTCCATGTATTAGTTTTTATTCAGTGCATAATCAGTGGCATTTATCAATGATCACTTTTCTCTAATTTTCATTTACATAAATTAATTTAGTCTTTTTTCATTCCATTTTACACTCTGCATCTTTTTATGGCATCACACTTCTAAACCTTTTAGCATATATTTCCCTTTTTATTTTTTTCCATGTTTCTAACCTCTTATACCATACATCAAACGTATGATTTTAATGAAATTTTTTTAATGAATATGTTCAAGTTTTTTGAAGTTGATAATTTCTTCAAATTTTCTTAACCTATTTCGTTTTTGACTTCCTTTGTTGATTTTTCCTATTCTGTTGTGTGCTCTGGCATTTGAAATGTTTACCACAGGTATCGAATATTAAATGCACGTGTATCAGTAAAATATATTAATATAACACCGATCTTAATATATTTTTAGTATAAGTACTCGGGTTACGTGTACACGTGTATTCTAATAATCGAGTATGATCACGACCCCCGTACACGGTTATAAGTTTAAAACGTTTGGGTTTTATTGAATTTAACTAATAAAAGCATTGAATTCATGTCTGATTACTCAAAGAAAAAAAAAATCAAAGCAAATCCTGTCAACTTCAATTTTCCAATTAATTTGTTCACAGAAAATGCGTGTAGTTTTGACTCAGTGCTATATCATTGTGTTTGTACTTTTTTAGCTATGATTGCACGTGAATACATCAGATAATATTACCCAATTATAAGTTTATAAACACGGGTTATTATCATTAATATTATTATTATTGTTATTATTATTATTTGAGGTTACTTGTGGCTCATTCACTGGTATAATAAAATACATACGATTATATATGTTTCAGAATGAATAACTGAGTCAACAACGGCAAGAGCATAACAATTCAATTAATGTTATTCAACTTCAATAAATAAGAAGGTATTATTGTTTTTTTCATTTTTATAAATATAAATACAATTCATAAGATTGTAGCATAAAATATTTTATAATGTTTATATAAATATGAGGTAAGTGCGCGGGTAAAATTATACATTAAAAACTCAATTGCTGTATAGCTGTCAGTAAAATGAAAACATTAATCGGAATACTGCTCTTTTGAATTAAAGTTGTTGGAAAAATTATAAATTTTTTTTATAATGTTATTAGAATTATGTTTGTGTTTTATCTTGTACAACAATCTTGATTTAAAAGGATAAAATAACACTACTTTTGAAAATATGCTCCTTTAATTTAAAATAACGTGTCTCACGTAAATCACATTTTATGAATGCTCTAGCTAAACATCTGTACAAGTATGTGAATGCGTTATCAACACTAATACAGTGTTACACTTCTGATAACATTAATATATAACACATCACCACTAAAGTAAAACAAATGAATATAATATGAAAATTTAATATTTTATACTTCGAATGAAAACTTATAATAACATAATAATAAATAGTACAATAATCTGTATATAATATAGTACATAAATATACATAATGACATAACATGAACATGATAAATTAATATAGGATATTAAATTATATTATATAATTATAAAAGTGTTGGTAAATACCAATACAAAAATGAGAAAAATATAAAATTTACCAAAAAAAATTATTGATAATATTTAATTGGTTTCCTAATAGTTCTCTTAGATCTTTGTTGGCTATTAGTGGTATTTAAGGTTATTTCAGAAATTGGAATTTTTTAACTATTATTATTTGAATCAGTGTTAGTATTGAAATTTGTTCATGACTGGATTGTTTAATTTTTAACATTTGATCTACATGACGTTTCCAAATGTGATTTTCATCTGTGGTGACCTATTAGTTTCTAGTACCCAATATTTTTTGTTACTACAGCTGTTTTCCACTTGGAACTTGTAGATTTATAATCCCTTACTAACACTTTTTCATTTATATCAAAAGTAACATCTTTCCTTCCGCTATTTTTTATTTAAGTAATTTTTTTACCTAGGACTATGTCGTCAGTTTGTGTAGATCAAAAATATATCTTACTGACTTGTCTAATAGAACTTTCATAGCAGTTTTCTTTGTGTAGTACGAGGAGTGTTTCTGTATTGAAACAAAAATTTACTCAGTTCAACATCTAGATCAGATTTAACAGGACTTTTTATAATTTTTTTAATTACATTTTTTATTATTTTTAAAGCGCTTTCAACAGCACTATTACTTTGCGGATGGTATGGGGCTCCAAATAAATGCATGATACCATACATTTTTAAGAATGAATGGAAAATTTCATTAGAAAAACATTTAGCACCATCGGATGTAATTAATTTAGGTAGACCAAATCTAGAAAAAACTTCATTTAAATGCTTTATGACTGTGGTAGTGTTAAGAGAATTTACTTTGAAACTTTCAATCCACTTAGATGTGGCATTAACTAAAACAAAAAAAAAAACTTGACCGAAAACTGGTCCTAGAAAATCAATGTAGATTCTTATCCAAGGTTTAGTTAGCCATTCAAAAGGTTTTAGAATTGCTTTTGGAGGGATTGCTCTATTTTCACAACATACTTCACAACTACTGGTTAACTTTCAATTTCACCATCTTGTAAAGGCCACCAAAAATAGGCTCTAGCCAAACTTTTCATTTTTGTTGTACCCTGATGTGATTCATGTAACTGAGCTAGTAATTTATTTCTAAACTTGGCAAGAGTTATTACTCTATAACCCCATTAAAACGTTTTGTTCTATGGTTAATTCATTTTTTCTTTTATAATAGGGTATTATATTTGAATTTTTGTTGGAATCATTTGGCCAATTATCATTAGAAGCATAATCAATGATTTTTGAGATGATAGGATCAGACCTAGTCGCTTTTTTAATTTTGAACCAGTCTAAAATCCAATTTGATTCATCATTTATAAAATTTAAATAATTAGTGTTTGCTTCTATGTCTATTTGTTTACTCTGTATGGATAATCTAGATAAATAATCAGCTGGATTATTATTGGTGGAAACTCATTTAATATTAAATTTGTAAGCCATCAAAACATAAGTCCAACGCTGTAAGCGAATTTGTAGCAATAGTGGGAATGCCCTTGTTTGGATTTAAAATGTGTGCTATGAGTTTATTATCTGTTACTAAAGTAAAGTGTTTTCCAAATAGATAATCATGAAATTTTTTTAACTCCAAAAATAATTGCTAGCTTTTCTCTTTCTAGCTGAGGACCTTTTTCTCAGCTTTTGTTAATAAGTGTGATGCAAATACCATTGATCTTTCTGTATTGTCATTGTAGACATGTGATAAAATAGCACAAACCACAGATGCATCAACAGCTAACTTTAACGGTAATTTAGAATCAAAATTAGATAAAATTCTGTTAGAAATTAGCAGTTTTTTAATTTGATTGAAAGCATTATTACATTTATAAGACCAAATAATATTATCTTCCTTTCTAGTCAATTTATATATTGGTTTTAAAGATTCAGCTGAATTGGGTATATATTTGATGTTATAAGCAACCATACCTAAGAAATTTTTCAACTCAGATAAAGAAGTAGGTACACTAACATTTTTAATGGCTTCAATATGTTTTTCAGTGCTATGTATACCGTTTCTATCCAAAGTAAGATCCAAATATTCAATAGAATTTTTAAGAAATTTACATTTTTCAACTTTAACTTTTAAGCCAGAATTTTGAAGTTTGTTTAACACAGTCTCTAATCTATTATTGTGTTCTGATCTAGTTTTACCAGATATAAATATATCATCTTGAAAAACTGTGACACCATCCATGTCCCCAATAGTTTGTTCTAAGACTCGTTGAAATATGCTAGCAGCACAATTTATGCCATATGGTAGCCTAAGTGATAGTATATAACCCTAAATTTGTAATTATTACAACTAAATTTCTAGCCTCTTCAGATAAAATAAACTGTGCATATGCATCTTTGAGATCAATTTTGCTAAAATAAACACCATTAGTAAGTTTTGTGAATAAATAATCAATTTTAGGTAAAGGGTATTGGGTTCCTTGTAAGACAGGTTTTAATATTACACTAAAATCCCCACATAATCTGACTGTATTATCTGGTTTAAAAACTGGAACAACAGGTGTTGGTCATTTGGAATGTTCAACTGGAATTAAAACACAATTCTTAACCAATCTATTTATTTCAATTTCAACTTTGTTTTTTAATGCAAAGGGTACAAATCTGGGTTTAAAAAACTTTAATGTACAATTTTGGTCTACAAAAAGAATAATTTTATATTTTGAGAAAGTGCCTAAATCTTTTTCAAAGACCTTAAGTACTTTTGACATAATGATTTTATATTTTTAAATTCATCGTCAGTATATAACAAATTTACATAATTAACATCTTGAGTTATAGACAGATTAAGTTTTTTGAAATTATTCCTACCAATAAGTGGAGGTCCTCCATTTTTAATAACATACAGAGCAATTTGGCCTTTATTAGAATTACATTCAAAATTTAAATCAAGTTTGCCTAAAATGCTTACCATCATAATCTTTTAAAATAATATCGTTTTCATTTAATTTAATGTGACTAAAATTTTCTAAATAACAACTTTTACTTACAAGAGAATGCAAACAACCAGTATCAATTTGAAATTTAATGTTTATGTCATTTAGTTTTACATTTAGTTCTAAAGGTTCTAATGTTTCATTACTTGGTTTAGAAATTAATTTGAAATTGTCTGATACACCCAAAAAAATGTCATCGTCATCAGAACTATTACTTTTATCTTCTATGTAATAAGTATTGTAAGTTTTATTTTTTTGATTAAATTTATTTTTATTTTTACACATGGTAGCTAAATGTCCCACTAAATTACATAAATTACATTTATAACCTTTGTACTTACAATCGTTTGATTTATGGTTTTGACGACCGCATACTTGATATTTCTGTTTGTGATTTTCGCCAGCTTGATCCTTCTGTAAGTTCTTTGAATACTGTTTATTGATTATCTTCTTGGATTTTATGTGGGTAAAAAATGTATTTCCTTTTACAAAATTTACTTCATTTGGTTCTTGATTATTTTTCGCAGCATTTTTACTGGCCATTTCCTTAGCAAGAGCAATGCCCATCATTTTGTTTATAGTGATAATTTTGTTTGTGGCATCTTCTTCAAATAATATTTATTTAAATTGTTTATCAAGACCAAGAGGGAAAATGTCTCTTAAAACAATATTTAGTTCGGTACCAAAACCACAAGTTATGGATAAGGTGCGAACACGAGCAGCCCATTCTGCAACCATTTCTATAGGATTATTCTCCGCTCTGTAAAATTCATATCTGACAGAAAAATACAATTTTACAGACGTGAAATGTGCATCTAATAATTTGATTAGATCATTGAATGATTTTGCTTCAATATCCAAAGGTACACATAAACATGCGAGTAAGAATAACGTTTCGTTACTCAGCGCAGTTATTAAAATGGCTTTCATTTTGAGATTACTTGAAATTTCACCAGCAATGAAACTATTAGTTGACTTCAATTTAAAAGTTTTCTATTCACCGGAACGGTGATCAAATGACATGTAGTTAAGTCCAACATATGCCGCCATATTATTACCCGAGTTATTATTACCCCAGACGCAATGTTTGACGCACTGGTTTCCGAATCTGCGGGTTTGGTTTTCAACATCTTCGTCACCAAATTTGTTGTATCTTATACAATAATCTTGATTTAAAAGGATAAAAAAACACTACTTTTGAAAATATGCTCCTTTAATTTAAAATAACTTGTCTCACGTAAATCACATTTTATGAATGCCCTAGCTAAATATCTTTACAAATATGTGAATGCGTTATCAACACTAATACAGTGTTACATTTGTGATAACATTGATATATAACATTATGTAATAAATAAATAAATAATAAAAATCGGTCGAGTAATTTTATTACCAATAAAAAAAGTTGTTAA